GGGAAAGAGAGGGCAGCACGTATGATCTAGTATTGATACTTAGCCCTTGGTATGAGCTCAATAACAAATACTCAGTCTCTACCACAACAGGTGTTCTTGTGGATTGGGGCTGAGGCCAACGCCACAGAGAAGGAGAGCGCTCTTGCTACCGCCCAGGAGTACCTGCACACTCACCCCAGCGGCCGCGACACCGGCACACCAATCCTGATCATTAAACAGGGGTCTGAGCCTCCCATATTCACAGGCTGGTTCTTGGCCTGGGACCCTCACATTTGGAGCGTAAGAACAGAGAGGACTGGGAAGATGTTCTTACTGCCAGGGCGCTCGGCACTAAGAGCTCAGTGGGATGGCGGGGTACTCAAGGGCTTAGTAAACCCAGGACCGCATCTCCCCCACTCCCTCTCCCCTCCCCGCTTTTTACTTTCCTCCTCTTTCGCGCCCACCAGGGCACTAAGTCCAGTTAGAGAATTCACAGCTTGCCTCAGGAACAAGCAGTGTGTGAAAAAGTAATAAAGTTTATAAAGTATATCCTCACACATTACTTTTTGAGCTCCACATCCTGATAGCTAGGGAACAGTTTCCTGTGTTAACAGATGAGGAATCTCAGAGGAGAAGTTATTTGTCTGAAGTCACAATTAACCAGTGGGAAGAAGCCAGGTTTACTGACTCCTAGTCAACTGCTTTTAGTATGGAGCATTGAGGGGCCACCAGCAAAGAATGCAGACCATGTTTAAGTACCTCCCAACCCTGCATAGACCCAGAAGGGGGGATTTTCATTTTTGCTTATCCCTGAAATGTCTTCTGTCCCCTGGCTTTTTTGCTTCTCTCGAGGGTACAGACCAGGCCTGACATGTCCCTCCCCTATAAGCAGCATCTCATGCTGTATTTTCTATTTCTTCTTTTCAGGCAGGGAAATCATATGAACAGTTAAAAGAAGAGCTGGGAGATGCTGCTGCTATCACGAGAATCACTGCTGTGAGTTTCCTGGAGGAGCTATTCACAGACAACCAGAGCCAGAGAGAAACAGCAAATGCTACAGATGCAACATGGCCAAAACCCTATCATGTCCTTCTTAGTATGACTCTGGTGGCCTATTCTGATATGAAGATTGTTTTAATCGGTAGAAATGCAGGTCTCAGAGCCAAGTTCCTTATTTTACTGCCTTCCAGAATTAAGAACAGACTTGCTGTTTAAAAAAACAAAACCAAATTTTATTATTCAACTCTCTCTGTCATTCAGGACAGATTAAACTTACTGTTAGTATTTTTCAGAAATAATAAGCTTCTAACCCACATGATAAGGTTTATCAGTTTCTGACAGGGGCGTCCACAGAAACTCAGGCCATTACCCCCATTTTTGTTGTTGTTGTTGTTTTTTGCGATACCCGGGCCTCTCACTGTTGTGGCCTCTCCCGTTGTGGAGCACAGGCTCCGGACGCGCAGGCTCAGCGGCCATGGCTCACGGGCCCAGCCGCTCCGCGGCATGTGGGATCCTCCCGGACCAGGGCACGAACCCGTGTCCCCTGCATCGGCAGGCAGACTCTCAACCACTGCGCCACCAGGGAAGCCCTTTTACCCCTATTTTAATGGCCAAAAGAAGTGGAGCTTCTGGCCAGGAATCCAACAGCTCTTTAACATCAGGACAAGTACATGGCACCACTGTCCGAACCATCTGGCAGTTTTGTCCTTTGTGCTGTACAAACTCAAGATTTCAAAGCTAATGGCAATGTAGCATCTTTAAAAAATATTTAAAAGAAGTATGACTTGAATTTGAAGTCATTTGAAGGCTGGAAATGTAGAGCCCAAGTAAAAGTACCAATAGAAGGAATGTGATCATAGTATTTAAATGATGTTTAAGCAAAACATCTACGCCAAACTGGCTATACAGGATTTACCTTAGACTTACTGAATCACTTTCCCAAGAAGGACCCTAAAATCTGAATATTTTAGATTCCCAGATGATTCTGACATGCAGCCAGTTTTGGGGACCATTGTTCTAAAGGATGATTATAAAGTATGAAGTGGTAAAAACCAAAATTTAAATACTATAAACCCAGAACTTCAACTGCACAGACCTGAAGAGTCTTATCCAGTGTCTACATTCTTATCTTCCCTAGGATATGAGGGACACAACCCTCTCCCTAAATTCTGAGCCAAAATATTACCCCGTAGAAGTTCTGTTGAAAAATCAGAGTCAGGAGTTGCCTGAGGATGTGAACCCTGCCAAAAAGGAGGTGAGTGGCTGCATCTGATGTAAGTGGAGCTCTCCATGAGTAAAGCACCTTCTCAGTATACAGCCTAGGACAGATCTGGAACACTGTAAAGCACTCAATAGACATCTGAATCACCCAGGAGCTCGAGCCGAAAACCCAGGGCTCCTTCTTGCTTTTTTCTCACCTCCCACATCAATCCATCAGCTAGCTTCCATTCACTGCTCTCCATCTTTCTGCTGCCAGTATGGTCCAGCCATCATGGACCACTGCCATAGGCCCCCAACTGGTTTCCACCCCTGCCCTACAATCTGTTCCCCACGTAACAACCAACGGGCTTCTACAACAGATGATACTTTTCTATTTAAAACACCTTGAATGGCTTCCCACTGCACTTAGAATTCAAAGTTCTTCTGATGGCCTCCAAGGCCCCAAACAGTCTGGCCCCTGCCCACCTCTGACCTCCTCTCACAGACCACTACCCTCTTCACTTACCGCCCTTCAGCCGGTGGCTGTTTTTCTGTTCCTCGAACCTTAGCCTTTATGCTTGCTATTGCTCCTGCCTGAAAACATTTTTTTCCCGGATCATCAGACAACCAGCTCCTCCTCACTATTTAGGTCTCAGTTGCAATGCCACCTCCCCAGGAAGGCCTCCCCTGACCACCCCGACACTGCCTCCCTCACCGCCTATAGTCCCTTTATACTGGGTCACCATCTATCTGCCCCACTCCAGTGATACCCTCAAGATCAAGGACCTTGTCTGTTTTGTTCACGCCCACATTCTCAGCTTTTCAGCATCTAGAATGGTGCCCAGCAGATCACAGGCACACCTTAAGTTTCAGCTGACTGAATTAACAGCCATGTTGAATGAACTAATTTATTTCCCCCTTGAAGGGGAAGGGCCTCTGGGTTTTCCAGTGTCTTATCTAACCAACTCTTAAGTATCTGCGCTGCAACTTTCTTGAAAACAGAGACCATATCTTAATAATTTTACTTGGACAGAAAATATTCATTAATCATTAATAAATAAATGTTAGGAGAATTTTATGCTCTAAGGTCCACCTGATCTTGCATTTGAAAATGTCTGGATAAAAAATGGCAGATAAGGACAGAAAGCAAGGAAAACCATCGATTTAGCTCTCTATTCAGCCAAAGCCTAATGTTCAGAACTTGTACATAATATATAACCCATTTCTTGTCCTTCTGGCAAGACACTGATGCCAGGTGGGACTGTGCGTGAATCCAGCCAGGGCTTTCAGAGGCCAAGGTGGGACTCCACAAGCCAAACTCTCCAATGAATAATTTAAGTCTATTAAAAACTTTCTGAAAAAATCATTCTACTTCCCCTTTCAAGGACCTACCTGGGACTCTCTCTTGGCCCCATTTCCCTGACCCCCATTAGTACTGACAGGTGCTAGGTCTTCCTTCTAACTAGAAACTTTGTCTTCTCTCTTAGAATTACCTCTCTGAACAGGACTTTGTTTCTGTGTTTGGCATCACAAGAGGGCAATTTGCTGCTCTGCCTGGCTGGAAACAGCTCCAGATGAAGAAAGAAAAGGGGCTTTTCTGAGGCAAGAAGGCATATCTGCCCACTGCAAGACCCCAGAAGAAAGCAGATAGTGCCAGTACCAGGAAAGAATTTCTCTACTAATCTCTGCCTAACATCCAGCTACTTAATGTTGATACAGTAGGCACTGCAAATCACAGCATGTTCTCCATTTTTCTCATCCCTGTGTTCCTTAGTTATTATATACCTAAAATGTTAGCTACCCACTTTTTAATTTTTGTGGCCTCAGCAGAAAGCACTAAAACTGCAGGAATCTGGAGAAGTCAAAAGTAAGAGAACAAAAAAACTAAGTTTAAAGTGTTTAACATTGGGGCAAGGGCCTAAGTTTGTTTTAAATCTTAAGATCGGTATTTCCTATTTAACCCACAAATCACTGAAGTTATTCACATATACACCCTGAAGTCAAAATCTAAATGCTCAGAACTGTATGTGCCAGAGATTTTTAAATTTTCAAATAAAGATACCTGTAAGAGCATATGGGAGTTTTTTTCAGTATTTTGGGTCTGCCCATTATGGTAACTATTTTGTTCTACTGGGAGAAATGTCTCAGTACTGGGCAAGTAAAGAGGCACTGCTGAGTGAGCTCTCTGGATAACTGGAATCCCTGTTGACCTAAGAATGCCAAAATCTGCCTTACAGCTGTCCAGGAAACCTCAGTCCCCACCCATCCCCACCCCACTATCCAGAGGAGAAACAGGGCCATGTGTTATTAATTTCAGTAATGAGGCCAGAATCAGTGTGTATACCACTGCAGAGAGCCTTCAAAGCACGCTATGGACATCAACAAATGAACCACATTTTCCAGACAACTCCAAGTTTGAGTCAACAATTCCAAAGAATCCATGTGGCACAAGTAATGTAACTGGGGAAGTTCCAGGATAGAAGCATAGTCCAAAGCGTCACAAAGCGAAACCGAACAAGAGAGTTCTATGTCACAGGAGTAGGATGGAACAAGGTAGACATTTTAGGGACACCATAATAAATCTGCATCGAAGGGGGCAGCAGCCCAGTTGGTGATGCCTGTTCTCCCAGACACTGTCAGTCACTTCAGTGAGACCCACCTGTTGTTTTCTAAAACCTGTCACAAGTCAGGCACAAAAAAGCTAGACCCAGCATTACGCAAACAAAGAAAAGATTCTACTCTCTTTATTATATAACAATTTTATTTAATAGCTTAACCCATGAAGTATATAATTTCATTATAAACTCAAATGAAAAACAAATGCTCAGTTTGAAGAGGCTTAGGAAATAACTCCTTTTTGTAATAAAGTCCAGAGTTAAGAATAAACATTTTCTCCTGGGCCAAAAGTCTCTGGAACCTATTCAGCCTCTGCTGCCTCTTTGCCTTCTCCACACTCAAACCGCACGAAGTCTACTACAGACACCCCTTGGGGCTGCACATACTGTCCCAGTGTGATGGAGGGATCCAGCAAGTACGGCTGGGACAGCATCTTGGTTTCTGCCTCTCCCCCAGGCTCATCGTCCAGGGAGCCAACAGAGAGAGGAGCCATGCCCACCACATGCTGCCCAAGGCGGCGGCCAAGGTCTTCAAGGTCTGCTTTCTGCTCAGACGTCTCGCAGATAACCAGGGCCCCATACTTCCCCAGAACCAGGTTGTGGAGCGAGGGACTGTGCATTGCCCCATGGACATAAGAGCCAACATAGAACCCAGCTGGCACCTTCACCCATGCAGCTCGTTTAAGAGTCATGTTTTCTCCCAGTTTCCCTGTGAGAGAGCAAAAACAAAAAACACACTTCCAGAATATGATGCTTGTGGTAATACCAAAATATGCACAGAAGCAGCCAAGTTTGGGAGACAGTCCTCCGCATTTACACCGTGGATGTACCACAGAGGGAGAGATACCATTTTCAGTGTAAACAGGAAAAGGGGTGTGGGGGGAGAGGGTGGGAGAAATGGAATGAACACCAACTAGGCGCCATGCTGGTATTTAGAAACACAGGCTCTGGTGTCACACATATCCTGGGCGCAGGTCTCAGTTCTGCCTCTCACTGGCTTCGACCTTAGGCAAGTAACTTAATGATATAACCCCATTTACTAATTCATCAAGCCTTCATTTTCTCTTCTGTAAAATGGAGAGGATGCCACTTAAAATAACCTGAAAACAGGGTTATTGGGAGAAATAAATAAGATGTGTAAAAGAACTTATTACAGTATCTGGTACATAGTGAGTGCTCCAATCTGGCTATCATCACTACCTTAAACTCAGGCTTAGAGAGCTTAAGGAAGCTGCCTAAGGCTACAGAGCTAATGTACAGCAGAGCTGGAATTAAAACTCAGATCTAGGGACTTCCCTGGAGGTCCACTGGTTAAGACTTCGCCTTCCAATGCAGGGGGTGCAGGTTCAACCCCTGGTCAGGGAGCTAAGATCCCACGTGCCTCATAGCCAAAACCAAAAATGTCAAACAGGGCTTCCCTGGTGGAGCAGTGGTTGAGAGTCCGCCTGCCGATGCAGGGGACATGGGTTCGTGCCCTGGTCCGGGAAGATCTCACATGCCGCGGAGCGGCTGGGCCCATGAGCCATGGCCACTGAGCCTGCGCGTCCGGAGCCCGTGCTCCACAACGGGAAAGGCCACAACAGTGAGAGGCCCGCGTACCGCAAAAAAAAAAAAAAAAAAAAAAAAAAAAAGTCAAACAGAAGCAATACTGTAACAAATTCAATAGACTTTAAAAATGATCCACATCAAAAAAAAAATCTTAAAAAACACAAAAAAACAAAAATAACCCCCTCAGATCTGACTCCAAACCAACTGTGTTTTTTCCCACCAAATCACCATCCCTCCCCAAAACCACTATAACTGACACAGACAACTCCTGATCATCCATTGTATCAGGAAAAAGTCCAGAACTAAAAGCCCCAGAAAATCCAAAGCCCCATGTCATATGGTGGTTTCAGCTTCCCCTCATCAAAAATTAAAAGATAACATTTTCACAGTTATTTATAAGAACCAAAAACAGATTCTAGTTTCCTCCTTTCTCTCAGGATGCTATCCCCTCTAACACAAGTCCAAAGAAGCCAAAAGGTAGGTAGGGGTAGGAGAATAAACAAAGGGGTCTGGGTAAATATCCCTGACTTAGCCACAGTTATAACTAAAAGTCATAAAAGGGAAGTATCCAGAAACCAAAAGGAATCTTAAAACAGCTCAAAGCATCTACCCAATAGTTAATTCCCAGAAACTGGCAAGGCTGAAACACCCAATTCTTCCAGAATTTCTTAATAAGTTCCACACACGGCTGTCTATCTAGTTTTTCAACCATGACTCACTGAAACATCATATATACTTCAAGATGACCTGATAAAAACAGAATTGATGTCCTGACTGGAAACATCAGATGAGCAGTAAATTCCCAGCAAGCTCCAACCCCAGCCGTACCTCCCTCCTTCCATCAAGGACATGTACGAAGAAGGCAAAATCCCTACTACTCCCACTGCCAATGATCCAGATACGGCTCCTATAGCCAGTGGTTCTGAAAGAATGTACCTTCACAAATTCAGGATCAGATTTTTTTTTTAAGAGAGGACAAATTCCTAAACATGATGCCCTGAAATACTCCTGGATCCCTTCATAAAGAAGATGAAATGACCTCTGATGGACTATTTCCTTCACAGTGTATAGAGAGGTAGTCAACCGGAGGTCAAAAGGCCATCTCTGCCTAAAGACATGATGCCTACTAATTTTAATTAGTTGCAAACGGCTAAAAACTAAATTTTTTTTCATACAAATCTAAATTCTTTTAAAGGAATTTAAAAATTCTGATGACACTGGGATCCCATTTCCCTCAAAGTAATAACAGGTGGCTTGGTAATGGTTTCCTTCAGCAGAGTGTCAGCTTTTCAGGGTGTCCACTGCTCACTAATATCTAACACACAACCCACCTCTCGCATTCAGATTATCAGACCTTTGAAGGAATCTGACCTTGTAATTCTTGATCTAGATTTGGAGGAATACCAAAGATACCAGGAGGTCCAGTTATTAATCTCCAGTTTCCAGATCCTTACAAATACTCACCAATTGCTAAGGCCAGCTGATCCTTGAGACAGCCTTCTCTCTCACGCCCAGCTGGAAGTTCAGAGAGCTCAGAGGAATTCAAGAAGCCCTAAGTGCACAAAGAAAATGAACACGAGTCAGTCTGTATAATTAAAATTACCAAGAGACTAAGCAAAAATATAGTCTATTTCTCAGAAAATGATTTAAGACAACTAAGTATAAATAGATAATGTTTTCATTAAGCCAAGAACGTTAAAAATTGCTAAGCACTCCACCCCCAATTCCATCCCAATCTCTGGCCTAACTTCTTAGAATGTAGTTTCCTAGAAATCAGAAACAATATTTTCATACAATCATAAAATGTTGAAACTAAAAGGTTTGTAGATTGTTGGTAGGAATGAAAAATGGTGCAAATCCAATGGCAGGGAATTGGACAATAGCTAACAAAACTACATACACTTTTAAAAAAAATTAAAAAAATAAAAAAACTACGTACACTTTTATCCTTTGACCCTGCAATCCTATTTCTAGAAATTTACTCTAACACACTTCCAACAATACAAAAGTACATAGGCACAAAGTTATTCATTGAGCAATTATTTCTAATTGTAAAATACTGGGAAGTCTAAATGTCCAAACAGGCAGAGTCTGGCTGAATAAACCACAGTACAGTCACAAAATGGAATACTATGCAGTTGGAAAAAGAGAGAAAAAAAGATGGTCTCCATGAGCTGCTATGGAGTATTTCCAGAATATATTAAGTGAAAAAAGCAAATTAAAAGAATACATACATATTATACCAACACTTGTGTAATAAATATTGGTATAAATATGCTTATTTTTGCAAAAAGGATAACCAGAAATTAGTGGAGATGGTTATCCACAGGAGTGGACAGGAATGGGGCGGAAGGGAGAGAAGGGAAGTAAGACTTGTGTATGTGGTTGGGGGAGGGGGGAGGAGAGTTTTAACTTCCAGAACCTTGTTAATGTTTTACATGTTCACAAATAAAATAAAATTAACAAGGATTGGGGGTGAAAACAAACACTGACTAAACAGAAACAGAGATTCTAACTGTATTTCAAAGGAATAACACAATCTCAAAAGGGGAAAAAAAACTAATCCAAGTTACTTTCGATACAGTCCTTTGGCCACATAACTTCAAAGTAAGGACAAAAAGAACATCAAAGAAATCTTGAACTCCTTAGTAGCTTTGTTATTTGCAGTGGTCAGGGATAGTAACTCTGAAACAAAGTGTGTACCCTACAGAGAGTAAATAATAAACAAACATACTGAAATTGCTAGAAGCCAGTGTATTCACTATGAGAGAAGGAAGGTACAAATATAGAAAGGGGGAAGAAAAGAAAGAAGCCTGTGGTGCAAGATTAGAACTGAAACACACACACACACACACACACACACACACACACACACACACACACACTTCCTAGCTCTGCTGAAAGAGCAGAGCAGCAATGACACCTCAGTAGAATTAAGCATACCTAATGCTGCCCAGATCTTGGTTTCTAAAAACCATTCCCCCACCAGAAAGGATCAGGACCCTTTGGAGAAGTTGCCAATCCCATGGCTGGGGCAAGGAAAGTATGACATAAACCCAGAATATTCTGTTATGCCAAAAAGTACGGAAATAGTCAGAAAATAATAAGGCCATACCAAAAAGACAACGGAGCCAGCTTGCATAGGCTTGGCTTAAACTTGCCAAATCCGGGGATAATTTGAGCATCAAAATGACTAATGGACCCGCGTGCAGCAACAAAGACCCAACGCAGCCAAAAATAAATAAATAAATATATATATATTTTTTTTTTTTAAAGGAAAAAGACTAATGGATTGTATAATGAATTGTATAAAAGAAGAATCTATGAGTCAATGTTGCTACTAAGTAAATCCCTAAATAAAGGGAGAAGGAGAAGTCTCCTTATTACAATAGAATGCCACCTAATAAAACTAACCAATGTGAAAGAAACTGTAAGGGTTAGAAAAATAACCATCATGCAACTATCACAGTAACAACTGGTCCTGACAAGAATCATCAAGGGATGCTAAAACTTTTAGGCACAAGTTTTTTGAGGAACTGGATGTCTACACAATCTCAAAAAAAATCTCCCATACAGATTACTTACTAGTTACAAAAAAAGAACATGGTAAGTTTAGAGTGGAGAAACCTGGCAGATACTACCTTAACCAAGAGATCAAAATTAGCACCATCAATAACAAGACCACAGTCCCAAACCCCTGTGCCTCCTGATGTGATGTTCTGAGAAAAACAGAGGGTAATTTATTTAAGATTCTTACAAAAATCCATATTCTAAGTATAAAGAAACATCAGTTGAACCCAAATTGAAGGACGTTCTACACAACTGTCCTGTACCCTTCAAAAATGTCAATGTAATGAAAGACAAAAAAAGGCTGAGGAACAAAGAAAGGAAACCAAACAGACATGGCAACTAATTGCAAAACATGCTACTGGACTGGATCCTGGATCACAAGAAAAGCTGCTAGTTGCCAAAAACGGAATGTATATTGTATATTATCTAAATAAAAATATTGTATCAATGTTAAAATTCCTGAATGTGATCACTGTACTGTGGTTATATAGGCAAATGTCCTTGTTTTTAGGAGATACATGCTGAAGGGATAAAGGGTTCTAATGTCCGCAACATACTCCCAAAAGGATAAAAAAACAATAGGGATGACGATAATACGAATATAAAAAGTGATAAAGTAAATAAGGCAAAATGTTAACAAATGGTGAATCTAGATAAAATTACTCTCTAGCTTACTGTAGAATACTGGTAACTTGTTTGCAAATTTGAATTTTCTTCAAAATAAAAGTTTTAAAAAGATAAAGACCAAAAGGAAAAAATTAATAAAGCTAAAAGGGACCAAAGTCCCTTGTTACAGATAATGAAACAGAGGCACAGTTAAGTGAATAGCTCAGGGTTACAAACAGCTACTGGCAAAGTCAAGATTAGAATTTCTACTTCAAGTGACTCATCTATTCAGTACAATTCTAAAAAATAATCTCAACATAGTTTTCCACGTAATATGACTATTTAATGCCAGTAATAATTAAAATTTACCACAAGATCTCAAAAGAAAGATAAACAGAAGGAAAAGGGTGGTACTAAACAAAAGAATTGTTGTGAGTAGTGGGTTCATTTTTGCCTTGGCAATAAGGATGGATCAAAGGCATACTGATACAATTCCTTCCTTGATCCTTCTATAGATAAGAATATGCTTAGTCTCCTAAATTGTGCCTTCTCCAGTATCTACATTTAGAAATCCTTTCCTCAGGCGACTCTAGATTTCTGAACACAAAGCTTCACCTGATTTATGGTCTGTATTCCACTGGCATTCATTCATTCATTCAACAGAGCCCCAAGCAAGTGCTGGGCCCACTCGTCATGTACCAGAGACACAATAGTGAAAAGACAAATCTCCTGCCTTATGAAGCTTACATTCTATTGGGGAAGGCAAACGAGAAATAAATAAATTAAAATGTAATATATAAGAACTATAACAACAAATTTTAAATGAAGCAAAATATGGGGATAGATCAACAGGAGGAAGGTACTCCCCTCCAGAGAGATAACATTTAAGCAGAAACATGCAATAAGGAAGTGAGACATGAGAATGTCTGAAAAAATGGAATAGCAAAGACCCTAAGAGGGGAGGAACAAATCCAGCATGTTGGAGACAACCCCCAAACTCACTTTACTATATGTAGACAGTTGATCCTTTAGGCTCTGACAATGCAACAGGGTTCCCAGGGCTACTTGCTGGACCAACTGTTGAAATTTTAAATTTCTGGAAACAAAATCTGTCTCACAGTTCACCTGTGGGAAAAAATTGATGTTGCTGTATAAGCTGTTTACTAATAGTCTCCTAAAATGCCTTAAAGCAAGGTATTGATAATACAGGCAGCAGATGCAACAAAACAGAAATAAATGTCTCTAGGATCAAATCCACAGTTCCTCTATTAGCTTGAGGCCAGAAACTGAATGAAGTGATTCCTG